AGATGCACATTTGTTTTATTCCACCAGAAAACTATCCTCAGACAATTTCTTCAAAGTGAAAGCAATTTTGTATAAAAATGGGCTCATTGGTTGGTTAGAAGAATGTGTGCACAGTAACACAGGTGTGTGATACTGCCTTACATGGTAGCAACTGCAAAATGACCCCTCATATAGACTACACACGTTAGAACAGACCAAGGGGAATGTACCACAGCCCTTAAATACCTGAGCGGGAGCAGACTGAGCGCACTCTGCAGAGCCCTGTACACGGCCGTCTGCCTCGTTTGGCTCTGAATCACGACTCAACCCATAATGGTAGAATCAAGCGTCCTTTTAGCCTGTGCAGGAAGCAGAGAAATGACCCGTGGATCCGCTGAAAAAGTGCTGACTGGGATTTCTCCAGAAAACTCGCCAAAGCGCCCGCAGCAGACCAAGGATCTCACCTGGATTCGAAAGAACCAAGAACCGGATGAATACTTTAATAGGTGAAGTGACAGGCATGTCCAGGCCCAGGCACGATCTCTGCAGGCTTGAATACCCCGAGTCCCCAGACAGTTGTTTAAAAAATCCATTAAGACAGGAATGGATGTGTTTCTCTGGCGTCTGACTGGCGGAACAATGCAGCGTCTGATGGAGACGTGAAGTATGAGATTCAACCTCTCAGCAAAGGAACAGTCAGCCAGCTCAACCCCCGCCCCCCTCCCATGCCCCCCCACCCCAACCCCCTGGCTTGGCACACAGCCAGGGCCTTTCACTCCTCTCAAGGAGCAAAATCTCACTGGTTCTCCTTCACATTAAACACACAGTCATCCTTTATTTTAGCGCCGAATGCAGTGCAAGTGGGTCTCGGGGAAACAGTTTCATCCACAAGAAAATGCCCCCACCTGGCCTCTTGTTGCTCTCCGCAAGGCTCACGAAGCACAGGTGCCTTTTTTTGTTTTTTTTTTTTTTGCTCGGTTTCATTTTACTTACAGAAAAGGTAAACTAAAATGGGGAAAACCCTCGAAGCCCCGTCCACCATTGATGTGTCCTTCAAATAACTAAGGCATTAAGCATAATGGATACCATGGCAACAGGAAAGAGTGAACGCAGGTAGTCTGCCTGTTTGGGGATGGTAGCCAGTCACAGGCACACGGATTGATTTAGATGTATAGGGTAATCTCTTGTCACGCTACATCTATTTTAAGCAATACAAACCGCGCCGTAATATCTGTGCCATCTTCTTGCTTTCTGCGCTCCAATTTAACGTTACTTCTTAAAGAAACAACCTACATACATACATTTCAAGAAAAAAAGCAAATAAACCTGCTGAACAATCTCAAACCCCAAGCCCCAATACGAAATGATCAGTAGGTAACACTAATGAATCAGCACCAGTGTAAATAAATACAGATCTAGTGAATAAAACTTTTTTTTATCAACAAATGACATGCATGAATATGTACATACATAGCCCTTTTCCTGTGGACACAAGTGATGAACAGCTGATTTAAATATACAAGCGTTAAGAGCTAATAGTTTATCATATATAAGTAATCATGAAAACGACCTTTGCTTGTAATAGCCTTGGGTTTAATGCATTTTAATCTCAAGGACTCGCTGTTTCAGACAGATGCGCTCCCTGATGCGACGTAGTAGGCGTGTAGTAATTATTCACTAGTTGTTTTTTCATTCTTTTTTTCTGCGGTATTTCAAATCAGCGTCTCTTGCTTTTTAGAAACCGGACCAGATAACATGAGCAGGGAGGCAGGTATTCATTTCAATTAATACAGTATTTATATTATATACGCTATACATGTATGTACAGCTATACAATGTTGGGTTGTGATACCTTTGATAGGGGGCACAAGGAGGTGGGGAGGCACAAAATGCATCCTTGCAAAAACACACACAGAAGAGTTATGATTGTGATTTTATTTTACTTTAAATATAAGCCATAGCAACCATTGTGGCTCATTTAAATCACTTTACTGTACTGGGTCCTGTTCTTTTCACAGGCCAAATGCAGATAAACATTTCATTAGTAAACTTAATTGGAGGCTTTTTAGCGCAAAACACTCTTGTCAAACTGTGCTGTCAACCTTACCACCACGGCTGAAGGACGGCCGTAAATAATGATTAATGCCTTATACGACATTTAGGGTGAAAAAGCGTTTAACTTGCGGCCTCTAGTGGCTTCGTTGGTGTACAGCATCAACAGAACACGGCACCTTCGCTTACAGTGCAAACGGACATGAAAGCTGTTGATAGGGTCTCAGGCCGAATTTCTTTACCTTTACCAATCATTCATAAATTTAGAAGAAATATACACATTCAGTGGATACTGACATAACTTCTCCAATTCTCCTTTACACGTATTTTAATTAGATTAACTGCAACAGCTCATAGCAAGTCGCTAAATCCAGTTGCATAATGACAAAGATCATTTTCAATCTGTGCAAAAGCACATACTTCTCTATAGAAGGCATGTAATAGCAGCTGGGAAAAGAGTACATTGATCTTAACAAATTTCATATAGGACTAACCACAAATACACAGAAGTGCCTATATCCTTTCATATGGTCCTTGGTAAGCATTTCCCATCTGAACACGCTGCTATGAGTGCTCAGTCTTAAAATACAGCATGTTCATAATGCATATGCAACAGGCCCTTTAACATATATATCTAAATTGGAGTTGGTGTTAAACAGTGAATGCAGTACATTTTAAAAGTCTACTGTTAAATATTATCATACAACAGTGATATCTAAGTATGCATTTTCCATCGTTTTTTTTACAGCTACCTCACAATCTGTAATGGCCAATTACTTCACTGCTAAACCCCCCCACACACACATACACACTCACACACACACAACACCTGTACCACCTCAGGAAGAGGGGCGTATTTCCGTAACGCACTCGAAGGAGATGGCTGTTCGTTCCCTGCCACCTACACCACAGCAGGTGCTGTGCAGCAAGGGGAACACAGTCGTCTAACCCATCAGGATGCACCATAATAAACCATTTCATTTCTGAGATATGCAAGGTTATTATGAGCTAATTACCAAGGGTTTCTTTCTCCTGAATAGCCTATTGGTCTAAAAATACTGCATATTTATTTGCAAATATATTCATTGATGAAGTTTTAAAATGACCTGGAAACCCATAAAAAGCAGTATAAACGGTCTGATTTAATACTGCCTTCATTATAATCGCATGGTATTTTCATAAATATTATTATGTGGTTCCATTTTTATCATAAATATGAGTAAATTAGGTAATCACTGCCTAAATTCTATGACCAATCAACAGTTTAAATTTTATCCTTTGAAATTATTTCATACATGACCCATTTTTATTCATGTTCATAATGTCTGGAGTCAGCAAGCTAAGTTATGCTAAAATAAAGTACAATTTAATTGCCACTTTGTGAATGCATATACATTTTCTTTGAATGTTCCCCATTTGCGACATAATCTGTAACTGAATAAACCATGAATTGTAATTGTATAAAACACTCATCACCATTTTACAATCAGATTCAACAGATACTTTTTGTTATGCACTTGAGACTACATAGATAAGTGTCATATACATATATCATAAAGAATGTTATAGTTACAATAACAGGCTGTAAATTTGTTTTCATATAAAAATACACCATGATGTACTTGGTTTAAATACCATTTCAAATATAAAACCGGACACTTTTAAAGTCATATATACTGTAGGCCTAAAATGAAAGCCGTCAGTGTGTTTGATCCAGCTGAATATCTGTTATTCAACATTGGTGAAACTCCATAATATTTAGTGTTATGTACTCGGTATATAATATTAAATAAACATATTCCTACACATTATTATACATTCTTGTATTGTGTTCTTGCCTTTGAGACCAAGTGGCACCAGTGACACCATGTGGCAGAATAAAATAAAATCCTTTCAAAGTAAAACATTAATTCATAAAAACGCTACAAACTGTTAGAAATTCTTCGACTTTCAACAGCACAGACCTCAAAGCAATTTCAATATTTAACAGGGCATCACAGAACACTGAGGTAGTTGCAAGTCTCTCTCCAATAACAGGGCCTACATATTACTAGACGAATACATAGATATGAATCGTTTACAGTGAATTATTGGAATTATTAATATATTTGATAAAAGTATGCCTCTTACCTGTTAACTCCCATAATTATTTACTGTGAAATTTGGTCTCAGTAAGCACGGACAGAAGGCTCAAAGGGAACTCTGGACTGGGTGCCAGTATATTGTAGGACAAACACAATAAGGGCAATTTAGTGGTACTAGTTCACAAACCTTAAGGAAGTAAATCCGTGCAAACACAGAAACGGGGCCCAGGAAATGGACGCGTAATAATGTGAAATGCAGTGCTACATATTATTGCATTATATTACTCTAAACGAACAAAATGTGCTATATAATAAAAACATTATTAAGTTCACTTTAATCCTAATATTTTTCAGCACGCCTGTCTAAGCATACTACAGTTCAGACGTATCACGTACGAATTCATCGAGTAAAAAGTTTCTAATCTAATGTTGACACTGTACGTACATGCTTTAAAATATATTTTTTACTTTTCTCGTCTGCATTTTAATTAGATTGTTTAAGAAAACATGTAGGAAAACTGTCATGAAACTGTACGAAATCTTAATTTTTCAAAAGAGAAACTACGAGCTATCCTACTTCAAAATCGTATTCGATTTCTATGGTCGAGGTTTTTACGTATTTTGCGCATTTTCTTTAATGTCTATGGTAATGGACGCTTAGCGACACCTAGCAACCACGCACAAGGCCGTTAGTGTATTTACGTTTCTGCGTCCAGCTCTGCAGTGAATCACAGGCGGAATAACCCGTTGAAGGTATTTAAAATAAACCAATCACTGTCTTGCGTATGCTCTCTCGGCGAATCAGAGACCGCCAGCTGGGCGGGCCCTGGTGTTCCAGGTTAAACGCGGTGCAGTAGCACTCTTTAAACCAGGTAAAATGGCCCTATTAACGTTATGCGATACAAACACGAAATAAATTAGATCGTGGCTATTCAACGAACCCGTAGCTATCCGTATGGTTTATTAGACAATTTTGTGAGCTGGCTGATTCGTCGTGATCTTTGATGTGTCGTGTTAATGCACAGGCAGAGGATTATTAGCCAGCCACACGCAGCCTTGCACGTATTTTTTTCTATGAACGTGCACATTCAGCTTCAGGGAACTGTGAATGTAAACCCTTTATAGATCGATTTTGCAAAAACGGCGATTGCTGTTGATGACGGGGAATTCGTGACCCAAGTAGCCAGATCAGTTAGCTGGGTCGCTAACTGTTCTGACTACCGTATCCAATGTAATGATCTTTTTTGCAGCAAAAAATACTCGTTGATAGCCAGTATCGTTCCCAATTTTATTTGGAAGATATAAAATTGATTTTACGATAGCTGCAGCGGTTTATATATGTGGTTTAGTAGATGACAGGTTAGTTGATACGCTGATCACCCATAGGATGTAGCTGTAAATGATGCACTTCAGTTTGTAATTTTTCAGTCTTCTGGTGAAAAACCAGAAAATCTTCTAAGGTAGTTCATGTGGTGTTGTGTCACTGATGTATTTATTTTAGCTATTTACCGTGTCCAATATTGGTCTGTTTTGGTTGTCCATGGTATCTGGTTATAGGATGAAGGCTCGGTCATCCTCCCCGGTCCATGTGCACGTAGATGAGACAGCTCCTGTTCGCATTCATGTGCATCGGAGTCAGTCCTTACCTTCCTCCATGGAGGTAGAGTTTAATCTCTGCTTCAATCATGTTCAGTTCATCTGTGGTGTACAATGAAACCAAGTGTAAAAAAATCTGAAGACATTGCTGTTGTCCTTAGATGGAACAGCTTGCGCTCACTTCAGTGCCTGATTATGGGGGCACTGGTACGGGGAAAAACGCAGCCATAACCATCAACAAGGATGGTGAGACATTCCATAAGTCCAAAGAGGTAAATAATGTCTGTCAATGTTCATAAAATAACCTTTCAAGTTATAATGATAATAAATACATAAAATAATACATTTTATTTGGCATGTACACAGTTAAAATCACAGAAACTTCGATCATTTGAATTAATTTCCAAATTTCTATTTCCCACAGAAAAGCATGAAGAAACCAAACTTAACGCAAAAGCCAGCATATAAGATCTTGGAGGTTAGCCAGTCCGACGACTTTGACCTTGGAAAGGCCGAAGGAGAGAAGGAGTGTTCATCTCGTGATGTTGCTGATTTTGGCTTTAAGGTGACTCCAATATTTCCCATTTAAAAATGCCTGGGGTGGAGTGAAGGACTGGATTTTGCTCCTGATGTGATGAGGTACACTATGTCGCACTATGGATAGGTGGCTGGGTCATTCTCGCTGGCCCACGGTCGGCCATGGAGGTATCACCCATATGGTAATAAAATCATATAATTAGGTCGTATGATATATGGTCCATGTAGTAATAAATTAGTGGCTAGTATGGTGTGTTTGCTACCTGAATTATGGCTCTTTAGGTGAGATCTGAAAGACAAAGGCGCTAAGTTCAGCGTGGTGATATTAAGGGGGTACGTTTCATGAGTCCTGAAGGCTTCACCACTGAAGGGGCACGGTCATGCACTACATTTTGTTCTGCATGAAGACAGTCATGTGAAGAGCACAGTGGTAATGGTACCGCTTGGTGCATTGTGGTGGACAGAGGAACTCAGCCGGTCATCCTGTCTCTCTCCCAGGGACGTCCTCCACCACATGCTTCTGGGACGGCTGGAGGTGACGACGCTTTGTTGTCTGGCGGTCGGGACGGCCGAGGACGGGGGCGGTGTGGAAGCAGGTCCTACCTGAGTCGCTCTGACCTTGACAGGTAGTCTTTAAAAACCCCGCCACGGTACTCATTTCTCTTTACCTTTACTCATTGCCTCTGTACTTCCATCTTGCCACTTCTGCTTCCTAAGGCACGGTTACGACGGTATGAAAGACACGCATCTGCTGCGGACCCTGATCGACGCCGAGACCGCTGCCAGTGCTGTGGCTGTGCAGCTCGTGTCGTTTAAAGACGTTCTGCCGGATGGCTTTGATGTAAGTAAGAAGGGACAGTGTGATCTCTATGGATTTGATGAAATGCTCACGTGAAGGACCCAGCAAGGTCTTCGTTTTGTATCAGTTTCTCCTTTTGGTTTTGTGCAAAACTGAAAAATGAGTTTCCAGCCAATCTCTGCCTGCTTTACTACTGTGAGAGCCTCCTGCCCCATTCCGTCCATTCCATGCTTATCCAGTATGTAGGACAGACCGCCTGGATCCTGTTGAAGGCAGATTAAGGGCACAGGGGGTGAGGTATATGTATCCTAGAGGTGCACCGATCCGATATATTCCCATTGGTATCGGCGCCGATCCATACCTATTAGATGGATCGGGTATCGGCCACACAGCAGATACTAAACTAAGTGACCATTATGTGTTTTTAAACAAATTTGCATTGTTAAATCCTGGTTTAATCCTGGTTCTGCTGGCAGAAGGCTGTGCTGAACAACAGGTTGCTTCCAGGTTAAAAATCTCTAAGACAGCTGTACACAAGAATAAGGTGAAGCAGGAGACACTGGGAATGACCAGAAACCAGCCAGGTAAAGGGCAGAAGCAACTTTCTAATGCCAGAGATGACCTTCAGTTTATCAGGCAGTGCCTTATAAATCGTAGGATGACCTCAAGTGACCTTCAAAAGAAATGGGAAACATTAAGTGATGTGAAGTGCACTGCTAGGACAGTTCGTATCAGGCTCCTAGAAGCAGGACTGAAGTCCCATAAATCAAGGAAGAAGCCCTTCATCAATGAGAAACAGAGAACAACCAGGCTGCATTTTGCAAAAAAAAAAACTATTCACAGATAAAAAATTGTGCTATGGTTTTAATTTTTCCACGGCCACATCTGATGCTTATTTAGTTTTTGTCAGTCTGTAAAAAGATAGCTCTTTTGTAGTTAAATCAATTTGTACAATTAGTCGCATGACAGCTCTTTCCCATTCTGCGTTTTTTGCAACATTCAAGCCGAGCGCTAATGCTGCCACTCAGGTTTTTCGCCACTCAGTAGGTGTGAGCGCAGTGACTTCCACCTGCTGTGAAATCATGCGCATACCCCTCACCGTACGGGGAGTGTACGAACATCAGATAAGAGGGTGACGATCTGGAAATATTTTACACTTGAAACAACTAGTAGTACAGAGACTTGCAATCTTTGTAAAAACAAAGTTTTAATAGAGGAAGTAGTTTTTAGTGGAAAATCTATGTAAACAAAGTGCACAAAATAGTGCGAAAAAACGCAATGTATGATTTGAGAGTCGCTAACTTGGGCTGTCTTGCACACTCACTACAGCTTGTGATACACGAGGGGCTGCTATTGCAACAAAGTATAAGTGACATTGCTAGTGAGAAAATCCATGGGGCATTTTAAGCATTCGCCACTTGTGTATCCTCCCTTGGAAGATATTCAAACTGAACCTCAAATACCTCAAAAACGCTTTAAACAAGGCAGGTGGAACAGTACATTATGTATGTTTCTTGTAGCCCAATTAAAGATTGTTTGACATACATTTTTTCATTTCATGTATTTGCTAGTTTCAAAAAATATTAGTAATACAAAGTATAACTTTTTAGATATATATTTATAATATTAAAATATGAAAGTCTTGTATCGGAATCTGTATTGGTTTCGACAGTAATGTATCAGAATCGGATTGAAACTACAAAAAAAAAACATGGATCGGCCTGCCCCGAGGACGTCCTGGACAGGATGTCAGTATATCACGGGGCACACACACATACTCATTCGCATTACACGTTAGAGACACCAGCACACACACATACTCATTCGCATTACACGTTAGAGACACCAGCTAGCCTAACTGCATGTCTGTGGATTACTGGGGGAAGCCGGGGTATCCAGAGTGTGCGGCTCAGCTGATTGGAGCACTGTAGTACTGATCGGAAGGTTGCCAGTTCAAATCCCAGTATGGAGATAGTGATTCCACCATCAGGCCCTTAAACCCAGTAGCTCCAGAGCCTGATCCTGCTTTCTCAGCTGTACATCGCTTTGAATAAAAGCATCTACTGAATAGTCAATGAAAGAGTGAGTCAATGAAACTTTGCCACTCCCCTTGGAGAAGTTCTCTATTCGCCTGCCCATCCTGCTGTCTGTGACACAGACAGATATGTAGGTGAGATCAAGCCTGGCAGCCGAGGGCAGCGGCACCCATGGAGCTGTGGGTCAGAGGCCTTGCTCAAGGGCCCACAAACATGCGACTGTTCTGTCGAAGCCATGCGTGAACCAACAACCTTCTGATCACAGGCACATAGAGCTGTGAGCCATATGCTGTAAAGGACATGTAAAGGAGAACTGCCGCATGGGGAGAGCATGCACACCGCAGTCATGCTGAGTAGGCGTGTGATTCAAAGCTGCTTCCCACTGAGCCGCGACGTGACGCCCGACTCAGGATCTCTGGGGAATTTAATTGTTCCTGACGTAGAATAATTGCATGCCTGATTTACCATTGGATTTTTCCCCAGGGAACTCAACTTCCAGTTAAAAACAAGTTTTATTTCAGTCATATTCACTGATCTGATTGCCACCAAATTGCGAAGTGCACTTGCAATCATTTGTATTGTTTTGCTGATTCTCAAAATGTATATTTTAGGATTCGAGATTCAAGCACTCAGGTGAGCGGCAGCTTTCGCGGGAAAAAAACCTTTTGCTGGAGAAGCTGGAGATTTTCAAACGCATCAACGGGTTGGCCCGCGACCAGCTGAAAGAGCTGCAGAACCACGAGGTGCGTGATTCCGGCACCGAGGCCTACCAGGGTGTCCATCCAGCGTCATGCTCTTCTGTGAAGGTGGTTCCACTTTCTTTTATCTGCAGGAAAATCGACTTGAGGCGAGCCGGCAAATAGACATCTTACTGGAGAACCTGACACAGACGGAAGCTGAGAATCGGGTGGGGCTTCTGCATGGGAATTTATGTTTTTGATACCCCGGGATACGAGCAGTGGGGCTTTGATCAAGTGGAGAGATTTAAAGAGAAATACTGATTACAAATTAGGGGTATGGGGGATTGGGGGACGACTCCCGGTTCAGTGGTTGAGATTAAAATCACATGTTGACAGATATGAATGAAAGATGTATGTGCAGAGTTAAGATATGAATAACTGCTAAAGCAACCTCCACCTCTAGCTTTCACTTGTGAAGTTTAAAAAAATGGGAAACGTTTTGATCTGAATGAATTTTTATGCTTTACCTAGAACCTGAAAAGAAACCTCAGCGAGACGGAGAGCAAAGTGGGGGAACTGACAGATATGAGGAAAAGAGAAATGGTTTGACATTTAACGTTTTCCCAATTCATGCAGTGACTTTCACCTTACTTTGTTGCCACAGTTATATTCAGGGCGGCTACAGAAGGCAAGACCGCCATTTGAGGTTATTTATAACCCTGACAAAACAAGGCCCGAAAATGATCGAATTTGTGTCGTGGCGTCCTGCAGGAAAACATCGGCACCGCCCTGCAGTTGTCGAAGTCTGTGGATGCCACCCGCGCTGTCCTGCAGGGGCAGCTCCGGAACAAGGAGTCGGAGAACAACAGGCTGTGTGTGCAGCTGCGGGTGAGGGCCAGCAGGGGGTGCTGACACACTAGCAGAGCTCGCAGACTGGCTTATGATAATGTACTTAGTGGTCTGTTCGCTGAGCGTGGGGTTGTGAAGCCTGCTACCACTCCCGGCAGAGTCTGGAGAGAGCGATGGTCGAACGGAAGCTGGAAGCGGAGGCTACGAAGGCGGAGATGACAGCTCTGTCAGAGAAGGCAGCCCGGGAGAAGGAAGCTCTCAAGAAAGCCGTCCGGGCCCAGAAACGGAGGGCAGAACGATTTAGGTCCGCCATCGAGATGTGCTACAGTCAAATGAGGGAGAAGGTACCTGTGACACTGATGTCATTTCCTTCTACTGTGACATCAGCAGAGTGAGTCATTGAGACGACGACATTTTGAATCTGGTATAGGGCTGGGCGATATCATATCGATATTAAATCGCGCATGTGCAATAATCACCAGGGCTTCAGATGACAGACAAAGCATTTGGCCGGATGCCAGCTTTTCGGTGCTATACGGACATTTATTTACACCCATAATTTGGTATACTACTAAACTGCTTAAATTGTGGGCGTAAATAAATGTCCGTATAGCACCGAAAAGCTGCCGCATGACCAAATGTTGCGCCTGTCATCTGAAACCCTGGTGATTATTGCACATGGTTGATGTAATATCGATATGATGTCACCCAGCCCTAATCTGGTATTTCCCCAAATGTTGCTTGAGAGGGTGGTCTGTTATGTAAGTAATTGTGTTTGGGTGTGTCAGTATTTCCTCGTGCCTCATGCACACAGGACCTGCAGCTGGAGGAGGCCAATTCGGCGGCGAGAACCCAAAAGGGACGTTTTGAGCAGGTGTCGGAGGAGAAGACTCAGCTGGTGGCCCAGATAGCCGTCCTCAGGACGTAAGACGGCCGTCGCTGATAGGAGGCAGGCGGGGGGGGGGGTCATCTCAGTAGATTTTTCTGACTCATCTGGGGGGATTCAAACAAATTTCTGGGGCGGTTCCAACCCATCGTTTCACTACCTAGCTATGTGGCTGGAGGCAGAGCGAAGCAGGAAACGGGTTCCGTTCTTCTGCTGGGAAGAATCAGATCTCTGTCAGGATTTGCGTGTGAGGGTTGGGGTTGGGGGTGATGTGGCCACTGTGATCAGTCTCCTTCTGTCTTAGCCAAGTCGCCGACCTGACCGCCGAGCTGCACAAGGAGAGAGATGCGGCCAGGTTGCCCGGCCGAGACCTTCCAGAGCGGATGGAGAAGATCAGGATGGAGAACGGAGAGCTGGGTCTGGAGAACGCAGAGCTGAAGGTGAAGGAACGCTAAATGGAGACAGTGGGTCGCACACCCTCATGGATGCAAACGACTATTCCCCCACCTTTCCGGAGTTGTGGGATAGTGTGCAGTGTGAAAGAAAAGAAATTCCCTTTAAAATGGTATATTTCCTGCAAAACATTTTAAACTATAATTCCGTTAGGAAATGCTGTTTGTTTATTTTGTTTGTTCACAGTGTTGTGCGACTGGGAGCCTGTTGAACACTCTCTTTGTGGTGTCTGCAGGTGCGCATTGCCGGCCTGGAGGAGGCGCTAGCGCGCTCTGCTTCAGAGCTCGATGGTCGGAACGCCGACTGCCAGGAGCAGGAAGAGCTGGCTGAGAGGTGCCGTGCGCAGGTAGCTTGCAGGGGAGTAGGTGCCTACAGCCAGCGGTCAGGAGGGAGCGACTGACGCGACTCTGCCTGCCCATGTGGCCGCTGGCGTCGCCTTTTCTTCTGAAAAGCGGCCGGAGCTTTCTGGTGAAACACCTCTTATTAAAATGATAGTGATTAGCAGGAGTATGAGAGTGCACTTTGCCTGTATTCCCAAAGGTAGACGACCTTCAGAGGGAGCTCGGGGCCATGAAGGCGAAGTTGGAGCAGGTCCAGAGAGACAACGAGGCTGCCAGGGAAGGAAAAGAAGCGGAACATGAAAAGGTGCATCTTTCGTTCTGTTTTTAAATGGCCTTTACAGGGATACATATAAAGAAGGCCGGACACACTCAGGATTCTATAAATCACACATGTTTTGTATTGTGCAATGTAAAGATGAATAAATCCGATGTTATTCTGTATATGATCTAACATATTCTGGATCTCCCTTTCCGTGTTAGAGAGATCTGTTCTATCAGTGGAAGCGGACAGAGGCACCTCCTGTTTTAAGACGCCGTTAATCCTATTGTGCTGGAAAGCTAAAGGCATCTACTGACAGATAGCGGTCAGTAGTTAGCTCAGCCAGCCGTTCGGCGAGTCACCATTATTTTGAGCGAGTCTCAGTTTAAATGAGCTTTTCGTCAGCTTGTTAATGATCTGTGATAGATGTATTGTCTTGTTTCTCTGCTTTCTGGCTTTTGTTAGAGTGAATCTAAAGGATTCTCCCATAGCTGTTAAATTTATGGTGGTATCGTGCCCCCCCCCCCTCTGTTTTTCTAGGACAGGCAGACATACACTATTTGTGATGAGGTTGAGCTCCAGCCCCCTCTGCTGTCTGGTCAGTGTAGTGTGCCAGGTGTGAATTTGCAGTAGACAAAGAAATTTGAGTGAACATTGGCAGGTGTTCTTCCAGGCACTCTGTGTAGGCTGACAGGTATTTTCCCCTGGAAATCAGGTGGTCGCTGGCAGGTATTTTTAATGAGGGATTCCGGTGGTCGCTGGCGGATGTTTAGGGATAAAGGTGGTCACTTGCATGTGTTTTTAATTAGGGATTCAAATGGTCGCTGGCAGGTGTTTAATGAGAGATTCAGGTGGTCACTGATGGGTGTTTTCAATTAGGGATTCAGGTGGGTTCTGGCGGGTTCTGGGGCCTTCAAACAGCTGTTTGCCCATCCTCAGGTAAAAATACAGCTGGAGTCACGGGTGAGGGAACTTGCAGCCTACCCAGATTTGCTGAAAGCAGCCCAACAGTCGCTGCAGGACTATGAGGACAAGCTCCAGAGCTCTGAGAGGAAGCATTCAAACCAGTCAGAAATCCATAGGCAGCTGCAGGCTGAGGTGCACATCGATAAGTAAAATGTATTATTTAACGTGGTATAAAATGTGCAGTTATAGTTTCCCACCAGCAGGTGGAGCCAAAAGCATGGCTGTCTGTAATTGGTGACACGATGAGCATGTGCCGTGTACCTGCTTCTGCAAGTGAAGGTTGTGTTTGTGCTATGAGCTTCTGAGCGAACGTGTCCCCTCCCCCATCTTCACATCCAGCATGTGTTGTTATTGTGCCAATGATTCCCATGCTGTTTCATACCACCTGCTTCCATATATCTTTATTACACCACCACCCCCCCCCCCCTCAGCACTAGATTACCTATTGCACATCCAGTTTGGTGCTCAGGCAGTATTAGTCACTTGTGTATGTGTTTATTAGATTATTTATTATTTAGATTAGGGATTCTCTTTGCCCGAGTCCTCCATGCTGCCCAGAACAGACCCATGCGTGTCCGCAGGTCGACAGGCAGTCTGAGCAGCTGGCGAGCTCCCTGGCGGTAAGGACCACCGTGAGCGAGGCCTCCACGCAGCTGCAGCTTAAAGCGGACCTCCTGCAGAGGTGAGCCCGCTCTCTCAAAGGGGCCCCAGTTGACCTGATTTGACACTGACGGGCGGTCCGCTCCGTGCCCCTTCAGGCGGGCGGAGGAGGTGCAGCAAGAGAACACGGAGCTGGTCCGCCGGCTGGCCAGCCAAGAGGAGGCCCTTCGGTATGGCGAGACGGAGCAGGAGCGACGCTCCGCCGAATGCGCCTCCCTCAGCCGGCAGCTGGAGGCGGCGCTGGCCGACGTCAGGCAGCAGGTGGGCTGGGAACCGCCCATGGACCCCAAACATGCGAGACTCATACTTCAGAATAAGTATTAACTATTAATTTGAGCTGTTTTGTTGAGCTTTTCACTACAGCACAGTAGCCTTGGAGTAATCTTTGCAACTAGCCTATATAAACACCTCACCATTTTTATTTATTACTACAAGAGTCTGTGGTGTATACAAAGGGGGGGGTGTGGCCACAGGGGTACTGATTGGTTCTGGAGTGTCTCTTCCCCTGTAACTCACCGATTCAAAGCATATCATTGGCTAATGATAAGGTTGGCCCCTCTATGAATTATACCCCTTGTATACTTAAAAAAATACACTTAAAAAAATCCTAGAATCGCCCCTGGAAGTTCCAAGTTCCATCACACAAAATCGCCTGATAGTTAAAGTTTACTTTGCCTGTTAAAAAGCAGCACTCGTCCACATCCCCTGTTTCAGCACCTGCCCCTCGAAGACTTTGCACATCACTGCCACTAACCTGAACCTAGTGGGACCAGATAATCCATGTCAGGGATGTGCACTGAACCCTACTGAAGCCAATTAGCACACTGGGTCGCACAGCATAGCGATTTCACCGTGCCCCATCTCTCTGGTTACGGCTCTCCACCTGTCCCCACCTGAAAGGTCTCTAATGTCAAAGACACAGCCGCCGTCAGGGAGAGATCCCTGCAGGGAAGGATCCTGGAGCTGGAGGTGGAGAGAAACAGGCGTGACAGCGAGCTCCAGCAGCTGAAGAGGAGCAAGCAGGCCGTGGGTGTCCAAGCT